TCTGCCATGCCAAGTGGTGTTGGCTCTCTGGAACTAGGCAGGCACCATCAAATAGGAAGGCAATTAGCCACAGGTCAAGGAAAACCCTAGCAACCACTGGAAGAACCCTAATTTTGAATGGCTGCTCCCCCTTTACTCTTCCCACAGCAGATAGTTAAACGATTATGTAGAAAGGTGATGGGAAGAGGAGCTGGGCAAGAACAGAGAGTAATTAGACACTCTCAGAAGGGTAGAGGGCTTTGGTGTGCAAGGAGAGAGGGGGCAGTGCTAAGGAAGCGACTCTTGCAACTTTATTTTTCTGTGCTTTTATCTGCATTTATTAAGTTGGTGAGAAGGTCTTTTTTTTTTTTTTTTTTTAAGGCCTACAGGGGTTGCAGGGGTCACAATTGCGACCCAGCCCCAAGCTGCCAATGCAAGCCTGGATAGGAGGAGTGGTGGGAGGGCAGTTGCATATAGAGGAACCGATCTCTCCATGTTCCTCCTGCAACTGCTCAATGTCTGCGGGAGAGGAGGAGAAGCAGGCATTCAGTGGCTGCCATAGGAACATGGAGAGATCAATTCTTCAATAGGCAGCTGCCCCTTCTGCTCTTCCTATCCAGGATTTTTTCTACTGTTCCCTGAGCTCTTTCCTGCTTCCCCCCCCTCCTGCTCCCCGGACCTGTGCTCTTTCCAGCTCCAGCTCTCCCCCCCCACCCGCTCCCCGGCCCCCATGCGATTTCCTTTCCCTGTGCTCTCCCCAGCCCCTCCGTTCTCTTTCCTGGCCTTCCTGCTGTGCTCTGCGGCCCCTGTGAACTTTCCTGGCCCCCCACAGCTCTGCCGAGTAACCCTCCCCCCTATCCCCTCTCCCAACGGCTGCTGCAGAGGATCTGTCAGGATGGAGAGCAGGGAAGGGACCGGTAAACGTGCTGTTTTCTGGCCCCTTCCATTTTTGAAGGGAGAGTCAATGATCCGTACCGATCACTGACTCTGTCCATTCATAACTAAAACATAGTAAACTGTGTTTACTATGTTTCAGTTTGTGAATGGAGGGGAAGCTCTGTACAGAGCTATTCCTATCCATGCATTCAGTGCAGCTGAGGCTGCACAGAAGGAGATAAAAGGGCCGTGCCCTCAATCTCCTTTCTCTGTCTCAAAGGTGGAACGTCGGAGGTCTGTTTGCAACCCTTATATCTCACTAAAGCCCCCCAATGGGGCTCCTAAAAAAAGAAAAATTGTAAAAAAGAGTTTTTAAAAAAATATTGTAAAAAAAATACAAAAAAAAAAAACTACTGACACCAGTGGCAGAACTACCAGGGTGGCAAAGGTCGCACTTGCAACCAGGCCCTGGCGTTCAACCCTTCATGGTTTCTTGCACCCGGGCCCTGAAGGTTCTGGTTATACCACTGCTCATGCTCATACATACTGGAGGTGACAGAGGCTCTCTAACCTTAAACCATGAAGCCTACGTAAGGTCACAAGAGAATTCTTCCTCAGAGCCGGGTACAACCTCGAAACGCGTCAACCACCAGCTATCCAAAGGTCTACAGTCCCCCACCAGACTGCCTTCAGGAGCTTTGGACCACATTGCATCCCTTGTGACATGCTTTCCATTTGATTTTATTTTTCTTGTGAGTATTTTACTTTTTATCAATAAATCTCATCTTTAAAGGTAATGCACTAGGCCCGTGCGCCCACTTTTTGTCTCTTTATATGCATTTTAGACAATGGTTCACTTTCCATCTTGTGGTTACATTTTAGGAAAGGCCATTTTTTGTTCCAATAAGACTGTGCCTCATGCGTGAAGCCAACTCCATAAAGACATCAAAAATTGTCCTTCAGCGTTTTGGACGCTGAAGAACAATTTTTGATTTGGACTTCCTGGGGAGGAAGGGTAATCTTGGTGAGCAGGGGTGCACTATTAGTATTGTATGCATATTGTTTACCATTTTAGGGTTTGGTTGGTTTATATTTATACAGTTGCAAGAAAAAGTATGTGAACCCCTTGGGATTACGTGGAGTTTTGCATGAATTGGGCATAAAATGTGCTCTGAACGTCATCTAAGTCACAACAATAGAAGAACACAGTCTGCTGAACATAATACTACACAAACATTAGATGTTGCCATGGTTTAATTGCACATAACATGTAAACATTTACAGTGCAGGGAGGAAAAAGTATGTGAACCTTTGGACTTAATAACTGGTTGACCCTCCTTTGGCAGCAATAACCTCAACCAAACGTTTCCTGTAGTTGCAGATCAGACCTGCACAACGATCTGGAGTCATTTTGGGCCACTCCTCTTCACAAAACTGTTTCAGTGTAGCAATATTCTTGGGATGTCTGGTGTGAATCGCTCTCTTAAGGTCATGCCACAGCATTTCAATCGGGTTGAGGTCAGGACTCTGACTGGGCCACTCCAGAAGGCGTATTCTGTGCTGTTGCAGCCATTGTTTTGTTGAATTACTTGTATGCTTTGGGTCATTGTCCTGTTGCATCACCCATCCTCTGCGGAGCTTCAGTTGGTGGACAGATGGTCGTACGTTTTCCTGCAAAATGTCTTGATAAACTCTGGAATTCATTTTCCCATCAATGACAACAATCCATCCAGGCCCTGAGGCAGCAAAGCAGCCCCAAACCATGATGCTCCCTCCCACCATGTTTCACAGTGGGGATGAGGTTTTGATGTTGGTGTGCTGTGCCTTTTTTTCTCCACACATAGTGTTGTGTGTTCTTCCCAAATAACTCAATCTTGGTTTCATCTGTCCACAGTATATTTTGCCAGTAGTGCTGTGGAACATCCAGGTGCTCTTTTGCAAACTTCAAATGTGCTGCAATATTCTTTTTGGACAGCAATGGCTTCCTCCGTGGTGTCCTCCCATGTACTCCATTCTTGTTTAATGTTTTCCTTATTGTAGATGTGTCAACAAAAATGTTAGCATGTGCCAGAGATTTCTGTAGGTCTTTAGCTGACACTCTGGGATTCTTCTTTACCTCATGCAGCATTCTGCGCTGTGCTCTTGCAGTCATTTTTACAGGACGACCACGCCTAGGGAGAGTAGCAACAGTGCTAAACTTTCTCCATTTGTAGACAGTCTGTCTTACCGTGGACACATGAACATCAAGGCTTTTGGAGATACTTTTGTAACCCTTTCCAGCTTCATGCAAGTCAACAATTCTTGATCGTAGGTCTTCTGAGAGTTCTTTTCTGCGAGGCATGGTTCACATCAGACAGTGCTTCTTGAAACCAGTAAACCCAAAACAGGTGTCAGGAATGGACTGGCCAGCAATAGTGGGACTCAGCTGCCTTATGAGCTGCAGTACCAGGGCTGGCCAGCGGGTGCTCCCAGCAATCAGAGACTCAACCTTGCAGCCAGTCAAACACCTGGAACTAATTATACTGGTGTATTTAAGGGACATTCAGACCTGCAGACTCTGCCTTGGTGTTGTGTTTCTCTTGGGCCCTGTATCCTGTTCCTGCTCTCTGTTCCTGTCTGATTCTCTGCTGATCCTGCTCTGATCCCTGGCTTGTCTGACCATTCTCCTCTGCCTGACCCTCTGTACCACGCTGCCCGCTACCTGCTGAACCTGGCCTGTGACCCCGACCATTCTCCGCTTGCTCCCCCTGTACCTACCTGCCCTATTGATATTGACCCGGCCTGCCTGACGACGCTTGCATTGTATGTACTGTTATCTGTGGGTGGTTGGTTGGTTTGTTTGCACTGTGTTATGTTTTAGTATTGCACTGCGTTTATGTTTGTATGGTTAGTGTTAATAAATTATATTGTTTATAACATATCTGAAGTCTGCGTTTCCCTGCGTCAGTCACACACCTCTGGTCATACCCGGGAGCCCTGACATTACACCAAGGCCAATCCTGACCAGAAGTGGCTGCACAGGGAAGCCATCTTGGCTTGTTGATGGGAAGGATGGATCTTGATGAGGTTGAATATTTATATCTGCTAGTGTTTGATGACAGGGAGTATGCTTATCAGACTCTGAAGGAGTATACCCGGGATGAACTGCTAGAATGTATACGGCTCGCTCATGTTCTAGTAGATCAGGGCACAGAGTTCTCTGAGGTGCAGCCTTTGATTGAGGTTTGTGCTGAGTTGGTTTCATCTGGTTCCCCCGAATGCAGGGATGAATTTTTGCCACCATTTAGTGCAGACCAGGTAGAGTCCCTGGTGTGGTTATTAGAGGATGATGTGGGTTACTTTCTGGAGCGTTATTCCACATGTTCACCACAGACACTAAGAGATTGTATAAACGCAGTGCAGTCATTGACCAGACAGGCTTTGTGTAAGCTCAGCTTTGTTCAACCCATACTGCAGACATGGACAGACTTGTTGCACCCAGCCTCAGTCAGCTTACAAAAACCCAGTCCTGCTTCTAATCTATTTCCTCAAAGCTCTATTTCTGCATTCCCAACAGCTACCTCCTGCCCTGCTATCTACCGCATGTCAGTCCCCTGTTCCCACTCGCTGCACCTATCCTGCCTTTAACCCTGTAAAAAAGCCCTCTGTAGCAACTGCTCCCTCTCCTGTTCCATCCTCCAGTTCTTCTCTGTCTCCAGCTGCTCCATTCGTTTGCAGACCTGCGTTTACTTGCAGTGCTCCAGTAGTTAAAACCAGAAAAAAGCGAAAATTCTTTCCAACCAATACCATCCTGCCAGTATCCAAACCTGTGAACCTGCCTTCCGTGACTCAGCCTGAAGCCCTCTCTTCAGCCGGATGCCTCTCTTCAGCCGGATGCCTCTCCTCAGCCGGATGCCTCTCCTCAGCCTGAAGCCTCTCCTCAGCCTGAAGCCTCTCCTCAGCCTGAAGCCTCTCCTCAGCCTGAAGCCTCTCCTCAGCCTGACGCCTCTCCTCAGCCTGAAGCCTCTCCTCAGCCTGAAGCCTCTCCTCAGCCTGAAGCCTCTCCTCCGCCTGATGCCTCTCCTCAGCCTGATGCCTCTCCTCAGCCTGATGCCTCTCCTCAGCCTGAAGCCTCTCCTCAGCCTGAAGCCTCTCCTCAGCCTGATGCCTGCATTCAGCCTGATGCCGCTACTCAGCATGATGAACTGATCCAGCCCGACGATCCTATTAGGCCATTTGACTCGATGCCCGCTGTTGATCCAATGATCCGGTACCTGATCCAGTGCCCGCTGTCGTGCCAATTGACTCAGAGCCCGCTGTCATACCTGGTGACCCGGTGCCCACTGCCTTGCCAGATGACGCGGTGCCCCGCTGGCAAGCCAAATGACCTGATGCCTGGTGCCCCAGTGCCCGCTGTCATACCTGGTGACCCGATGCCCGCTGTCGAGCCAGACAATCCGATGCCTGATGACCCGGTGCCCACTGTCGTGCCTGTTGACTCGGAGCCCACTGTCTTGCCAGACGACTCGGTGCCCGCTGTTCCGCCAGTCGACTCGGTGCCCGCAGTCTTGCCAGACGACTCGGTGCCCGCAGTCTTGCCAGACGACTCGGTGCCCGCAGTCTTGCCAGACGACTCGGTGCCCGCAGTCTTGCCAGACGACTCGGTGCCCGCAGTCTTGCCAGACGACTCGGTGCCCGCAGCCTTGCCAGACGACTCGGTGCCCGCAGTCCCGCCAGTTGACTCGGTGCCCGCAGTCCCGCCAGACGACTCGGTGCCCGCAGTCTTGCCAGACGACTCGGTGCCCGCAGTCTTGCCAGACGACTCGGTGCCCGCAGTCTTGCCAGACGACTCGGTGCCCGCTGTTCCGCCAGTTGACTCGATGCCCGCAGTCTTGCCAGTTGACTCGATGCCCGCAGTCTTGCCACTTGACTCGATGCCCGCAGTCTTGCCAGTTGACTCGGTGCCCGCAGTCTTGCCAGACAACTCGGTGCCCGCAGTCTTGCCAGACGAGTCGGTGCCCGCAGTCTTGCCCGCAGGGTGAGGGGAAGAGAAAGAGGGAAAACAAAAAAAAAAGACCCTCCCTCTCCCCTTCCCCCTCCTCTTCTCTACTCTCTATTTCCCCTTCCAGTTACCTGCCATTCATTCTTTTCAATATCCCCCATCTCTCCTGCCTCTTCTTCCCACTCAGATATTGCTATTCTCTGTAATTCAAGTCTTTCACAGAAGTCTCTCATATCTTCAGGAAATCTCAATCTTGCTGTACGTCCATTTTTCCACCCAATTAAACATGCTGTGAAACCCCATCTATATTGCACATTTTGCCTCTTCGTCTGTTCTAATAATGATCTCAGGGATCTTCTTCTTGTCAGAGTCTCAGCTGCTAAGTCGGCGAAAATTAAAATTTTTTTTTCTCCCTAGTTAATATCTGATCTTTCTTTGATCTTCTTCCATATCTCTTCTTTATCCCCATAATTATGGAATTGCACAATTACACCCCTCGGTTTCTCTTTACCCCTTTCTTGTTTTCGCTTTCCTATTCTGTATACACCATCCAATTTAAGAGTCTCTGATACAGATCTGTCCAATATATTATTCAACAATTTACGTATTAAACCCATTAGGTCTTCCCCGTGTGAATTCTCTGGTACTCCTCGTATCCTTAGATTACCTCTCCTATCCCTATTTTCTTGATCTTCTATCTTTATATAGCAGTTTTCTTTGTTCTTTTTCTCATTTCTACCGTCTGTTGTTCTAGTTTCAAAATAATTTGGGCTTGTTTGTTCACTATTCCCTCCGTTTATTCCACTCTAGATGTCATTTGCCCCAGATCTTTATGTATTATCGCCATCTCTTGTTTTATTGATTTTTCAAGACTTTTAAACATTTCTGCTATTTCTTTTTAATTTGGCATTAGTAATTCCTTTTCTTGTTCTTCCGCCTCCAATCTTTCTTTCCTTTGTTGACTGCTGTTGGCCATTCCCAGGGATAGTCTAGGATTATCTTCCATACCGATTTCCAGCTCACTCCTTTCGCTCATTCCTTGTTGTTTTCTGGAGTCAGATTCCCCTGTGAAGGTATATACATTTTAATCGTACCTGTTTTGGAACCCTTGGGCCCACCTCCTTTGGCTACTTTGTTTTTCATGCCGTCAAAGACTTATCCAGGCTCTGGGGGGGGTTGCTTAATTTTACTGTCCCGTATTGTCACTTTAAAATCCCCCCTGTTAAGTTCTCTCTCTTCTGGGGACCCGTACTATATAACTATGTCCTCTTTATCAACTAATCCTCTGGGTGATCTCTCCCCTTAATTTCCCCTTATATGTCAGTTCATTTTGTGCAGTACAGTGCAGTTATGCCTTGCCTCACTCAGCCTCCTGCCGTCTTCTCTCTTAATGTGAGGTGGCTTCAGGCTCTCCTTCAGTTGGCTGTGATTTCAAACAGCCTCTCTCTGCTTGTGCTGCTCCTTATCCTTAGGGGGACATTCACCCAGTTGGTTCCAGCCCCTGATAGCACAGGTCCCATGTAATCAGGGGGAGAACTGGCACCTCCCTCTGCCTAGGAATGCCAGCCGGCTTCTCCTCCCCATGCTTTCTGCGGGAGGTCACGTGGTCGCCTCCACGTCCTCCAGTCTCCAGGCAACCCTCTGCTCTGGACGAACACCACCGCTTTCCCACTGCAGCTATTGCCCAGCACTCGGTCCTCCACTCTAGCCGGCCCACCTCTGCACCTCCATGCTCACCGGCTCCCCTCGTGCTGCCACTCTCACAGGTAGGGCACCACGGACTTATTTGGCAGCATCGCAGGGCACATATCGAGGTGCAGGTGCCTAATTAGCGGAGAGCGCTTATATCACGCTCTCCACACCGCCATGGTCAGGCTCCCTGTTCCTTTAATTTTTTGAGCAGTGTATATAAAAACCAAGGCTCATATGATAAGATAGGAATTTGGCAATAAAACAGGAAAGATTTTAGCCATCTTCCTAAAAACTGCCTCCCTCAAAGCCTACATAGCACTCATAACCGCATGGAATGGGTCAAGGGCCCACACCTCACATGCCATTTCCTCATGTTTTAGCCTTCTTCATTGCTTATGGTTTCCTTTGCCTCAAGCGAAATTTCAAAGTTTAAAGTCTATAAAGCCTTCTTCAGGTCTCGCAACCCTTTCCCTGTCTGATGTGTGTCACCTGGAGAGACCGATACAGATTACTAAGCTTCTAGAAACAAAATCTATACAGAAGGAAAAACTGCTAAGCCCAGATGACATTTTGGGCAGATACCATAAAGAATTTTCAGACACCCTAGTTCCAGATTTGCTGCTGCCTTCAACTCAGTCCTGGAAGGCCATAAATTCCCAGTGGATATTTTATGCGCCCATATATCTGTCACACCAAAATTGGGGAAAGATCCCACACAATTATGTTCTCTTTCTTCCCCCTGAGTAACGATACAAGACCCCACTTCCTGTGAATGAATGAACTACAACTACCATGTGCCATTACATAAATTTGTGATGATCCGTGTTGACCGTAGAGTGTTCATAGTGTCTGAGCCCCCTTTCTCTTTAAAGTTCCCCTTTTATGTCCAAAATTCCCTTATCTAAGATCTAGCCTAATTCAATAATCTAGCCTAATGTATGTCGTGGTGGTGACCATACCTGTCCATCAGGTGGCGCTGTATGACCTTGCCTGCCAATTGCAACATAAAAAAGCTATGAAAAGCCATGCAAGGGAAGCCACCTCTGCTTCTGCTTCTTGATGCTACAGTGCAAATCTTCGTGGTGTGGTCCTATAATATACCACCGTTATTTTCCGTGGTAAAGTATAAATTAATCTCTCCACTGAAAAATGTAATCTAATTTCTGAATCTGACTGAATTTGGGCCTTCAAAGTTTTGCTTGATAGATTTTTGCCATTAAATCATATTTAAAGTTTTCATCTCCACTTAAAGAATCAAAGTAAAAAAGTTGAGCTGTGCCAGCAAAACTAGTAGACTAGATGCAATCCTTGAATTCTGTTGCAAAGAATTCAAGGGGAGGGACTGATTGGGGTGGACCTTATTGTCTACCAGCATAGTGTAAATTACTTGCATTCCAAAATGGTTATAACTATACCTACTGAATAAAAAATAGGGAATCTGATTTTGTCTACGTTCCTAGGCCCCAGTATATAGTTATACGTATTACTGCTAAAGCAACATGCTTTATATACTGGGGCCCAGGAAGTTAGGATAAATCAGATTCCCTATTCATTCAGAAGGTATAGTCATCATTTTGGAATACAAGTAATTTAGACTGTGCTGGTGAACAAGGTTCACCCCAATCAGTCCCTTCCCTTGAACAAACATATATGTCAGGTTTACAGTAAATAAATTGATGTTTGTTTTATTGTTACATAGTCCATACTTTCAATGAAAATTTTGTTGTGCTAAAAATCTCTACGTGGACTTAAAAGTAACCAAATCAGTGCAGTTTAACCAATACATTTTATGCTAAATAATTTGGCACACTGGAAGGCTGGAGGCACTGTCCTATAATTATTAAATAGTTGGCATTGCTGTCTTGATTAATAATTCAGGCTTCCTGACATTATCATCTTTGAGTTTGTACATCTATGGGTTCTATTTATTCTTTTTTTTTTTAACCTAAGATTTACGTTTTTCACCCAAGAATCAAATTGAAAATGTGTGAATCTTTGGTGTAAAGTTTTTTTCATGAAAACATTGCTAAATACTGTAGATTACTGTATGTCGATAAACACTTTCTCACTCTTTTTTCCACAATGAAACACTTGAAATATTTTTAACACCTGCTAAAAATATTCTATCAGCTAATGTTGAAGATATAAAATAATATTAAAGTTCAGTCAACAATTAATAATACAAAAAAAACTGTCCCATGTGATGTCTGCAGTTTTAATCCTCTGTTTACTGAATTCCCCCCCCCCCCCCCCACACACTCAGCCATAATATTCCCGTGCTGCAGGGGTTAATACAAGCCGAGTGATCTGTAATATGTACTCTTTCAAGAGTGCCAATTGTGCGCACCTTTTTTGTCCAACTCCTCCATTCACAGAAACTGTACCATAGCTTCCATGAATGAAAAATGATCTATGAAAGAAGGAGGTGGATCTTTTACTCTTCTGCCTGTCCACCATTTACTTATTTCAAGTTGGTTGGGGGCATCAGACTGTGGGAATATTTAAGTGGATAGATTAGGGGATGGCCAAGTAGGGTGAGCATTGTGGGTGGATTTGGACAGCATTGATATCTGAAGCAGCAGCCTCATGTTTTCAATGCCGTATTCCACTCATCACCTTCACAAATACATATCAGGTTGCAGGCACCCCTGTTAATCCAGCTTGGTGAATATCCTTGCGTCCTGGATCTGGATGAAGAGTTCTGTAATAAGGGGCAGTGGATGTTTGTTGGGAATGCTGATCATATTCATTCACAATAGTCTATACAGGGCTGTAAGGTTTTTTCTCTTTTGAAGAAAAAAAAACAACAAAGAAACTTTCCCCTGCAGAGAAAGAGGATGGGCAGAT